GCTGGAGCAAGGAAATACTTTTTCAATTACAACTTCTGTTTTTAAAGTTCGTGGCACAGTTCTAGCCCCAAATTTGGTTTTGGCAAAATCTAATTTTAGAAGAACCCCTGTCTCAGCTTGGGAGGGCAGAAAAGGAGGGCAGGATTTCACCTCTCAAGCTCTGTGCTGTAACCTAAGTACAAATTGTGAAATAAAACAAACTTCTGACCTTAGCCTTTATAGCCTGATCATTATTACTTTCATCAATTGTTCCTTGCTCATTTTTCAAAGTAACTAAGTAAAGTCACATCAAAGAAGCTTTAAACCAGTGATGAAATACCAAATTCTAATTCCTACAGCAAACATGACAAAACTGTTACACATAAATATATTAAAGTTAATCCCACACAGTGAACTACAAGGTGCTATTTCTGCTGATAAAACAGTTGAGTCATAACTGTCCTCAGGGCATTAAACTGGAGTTCATCCATTTTGGTACATTTACAATTTTGCCTTCTGAGCACTACTGCTAACCTCCAGATCTAATAAAATGAGGGCAATTACAAGAAGAGAATGTCTAAATGATTGCAACTGTGACCTTGTATCTGAATTATCAGGATGCTCCAACCACAAGAAGCAACGGATTGCAGAATACAGATCCACATTAAAACTCTTCAGTTATTACACAATTAAATCCTATAATCCAACTCAAAGTACGGAGGAGCTGCACTTACTAGTTACCATCCTCCTCAACTGAAAACTGGTCTCAGGAGAAGAGGAGGAGGCTAAAAGACAACTCAAAGAGGGGTCAAACCACACCATGTCTCCCTGACACAGCCCTGGTTAGATCAAGTCTGCATGGAGTAGCATCAAGTTGCCTTTGTATTCTTTCAGCTGCTAATAAAGACGAATTGGACTGCTCTCACAAATCTTTTTCAGAGTTAAAATACAACCAGCTCACCACTGCCAACTTCCCCGTTGGCCAGGGAAGTGCTTCAGCTCCACCGAGAGGAGCCACTAGAGAATGAACTAAAAGCAGTCTCATAGGGAGCACTGGTCTATGTTGCCTTCAATGGCCTTCCCAGCTGGTTTCCCACCTCTGACCCTCCACAGAAGACGTTATGCTGACACCGGTCTGACAAAATGCCTATTGCCTCACCTCTTGAAGAAGCACACGTGACACACGTTCCTAGAGGGCCAGCGATACCACCCCTCCAACATTACCAGCACCCTTGACAGCTGAAGTTAAAACTCTGCATAACTCCCCAGACACCCTTTATGAGGCCCCGGGGTTCCTCTGCAGCCTGGCAGGCACTTTGGGCACTCTCGCTTATACGGGACGGGTCACACGCGCGAGCATCGCGCCAGGTCCTGCTGCAGGTGGTCGGGCTGCGCTGCTGCCGCTGCTTAGCAACAGATGTTGCTGCACGTCTGTCGGGAGAGGGTCAGCAAGGCCAGAGATAAAACCAGCAGTGATTTTCCATTGCTCTGTTGCTGGACAGGAACCCTATAGACCTTCTACGGTAATCCAAGTCAGGCTCTAATAAAGGACTCTGTCCGAGAATTAACCAGCGTAAAGTAGAGACTAGATCCAGCCTTTTGACAGCAATCCTTCTAGCTTACAGCTGCGGTCAAGCAAACCATCTTCCAGGATGGAAAAAGAGAAGATTTTCTCCTTCTAAGAATCAGCTATGCGACAGACTCTGGAGAAAAAGGACTGGAAAGCAAAATTTAATTCAAAATTTTCTGCAAAAATAAAGACAAAAGCTCCATATAAGCTCCAGTATGTCACTGAAACTTCAGAGAACTGTAAATATGTAATGAGAACATGATATTCATGGTAATAAGATAATCAAGTTCAAAGCCTCAGCAGTGCACAGAAATGGCAAAAAGGTTTATTTTTAGATACTCAATACTGAAAATTCATGGAGCACAAATCAAATCTGCAATGCATAGGAAGCTATGCTGCTTTGACCCACATAAATTCCCATCCATGTCTGTGCCAATCCACCTTTTCACACTGATGGTCACACAGGATTTCCTTCCCTCTCCAGCTGCTGTGTTTCCACCTAACATTCTCCCCCCGAGAAACATCAGGGTAGACAGCCACAGCTAGAAACACTGCTGTTGGCAGTAGAAAAGTTGCTTACTTTTAAGACCACTCAGTCTCCTGCATGCAATTTTACCAAAAGGGCAGCTCACTAGTTGCTATAGCACTTACTTTAACTGAGATACAGGAGACGTTGCTGGCATAACCGGAATGTCTCAGCTGTGGCTGAACACAGATGCTAAGGGCTGTTAAAAGGGAGCAGAGATGAGCAGGACCTCCCCGCTGTGTTGTGGATCACAGAGCCCAAATAGGTCAGCCTTTCCTTTCTCACACTTCTACTTACAGATGCACAATCCATGGGGCCAACTTGCTCTGCTGCCATGTCTCTGCTCTCTAATCCCTAAAGCTGGGCTTCTCCCTTCTTGTCTGCCTGTTTCAGACAGGGAGTTCTCCTGAGCAGATTCTTTCGTGTCCCCAAACTCTTCCAGCATGCTATCCCCTGACTCTACAACACTTCACACAGGGAAGGAGGGATGGCAGAATTTCTGTAAAGAAAATCTGCCACTGCCACAGAGCACACTCAAAACTTTAACAGCTTTAAAATCTATAGGAGACAAAGACTAAGTTCCTTCAACTTTAAAACAGGCAGCTTAATCAGAAGACAATAATATCAGAATTAAGACTTCCAAAACACATTGCAAAGCTAGCACACAGCTCTCTGCCCTGTTGCACATGATTCTTCCAACAGCGATGATGCAAAGTGCTTTATAAAAAGACCAAGTGTACCAAAAGAGATGCCACTCAGTGATATTTTTGTTGTTACTCAAAAATAGGCTGAAGAAGAATACAAGAAAGACTAAGGAAGACAGAAGAGGACAGGCTAAGTAAGCCAGATCCTCTCCTCTGCGACACTCCTGGCCCATTGCCTTGATGTGGGAGAGTTCCTTGCAGCCCTTGTGAATAAGGGTTCACCTCGCCTCAAACTGCAGACTGGAACCAGCCCAGTTGCAATATGAAGCCACACCAGTGCTCTCAGTTAAAGGGGGAGGCCACCACCCAGCCACTCTTCTCTCCCCTAAGCCCAGCTCCCCATCAGAAGCCAGATTTCTGTAACAACTCCTCAGTCTCTTTAAGAGATGCAGTACGTGTGGCTTTTAAAACGTTCAAAGTAACACTGGAGAAAACAGGCAGGAAAACAGAGCTTAGTAAGTTAAAAGCATAGCCAGTTCCTGAACTCTATCATTCTCACTATCAGTTAAAAATTAGTAAAACGCTTTGCTGACTTAGAAAACGCAGTTTTAATTTCTCCATTCTGTTTGAGGGCAGTAATCAAAGCTGTATGGATGCTGAATATTCACAGAAGGTACACTTTGTCCCTCAAATTTTAGTTTCTGTTAGCAGCCATGGTCTGCCTTTCCAGACCTCCATGGTGTGAGAAAAAGGACTATACAGTGGGTATTAAGCTCAATTTCAGTCCAGTCTTTCTAGCGCTCACATTGCAAACCTGAGTGTACACTTACATTTTCTGTTTATCTATACTGATACTTCTTTCTCACCATCCCCACCTCCTCCAGAGACTCACGCTCCCAGAGAGGAGTGCAAACAGGGCCAGAACTTGTCCTTTGGTAATTCAGAAACATTCTGAGTAGTTCAAGAAAAAAAGAAAGAAAATAACAGATAAGACACTATCAAATCTACAGAAATTAAGAATAAAAGTAGGAAGGGACAACCTGAGCTCACGATGAGAGAGTATATATGTAATAGAAATTATATCTTAAGTATAAGAAGGCACAGCCCAATCCATCCACTTTGGTATTTCCACAATCAAATTAAGGACCCCAATAATCCTGCCATGGAAAAGTTTGTCCTCTGCAAACGTTTAGCTAGGTAAGATCCTAGTCCCAGCTGCTGCCCACATCTCTGTAAAAGGAACATCACCCTGTCTTTGCTGTATGGCAGACATATCAGCAGCAGATACCATGCAAGGCCTCAAAGAGATAACAGGTATATTATAAGCAGTGAGTGTGACATGAAAACCTTTTTTTTTTTTTTTTTTTTTTAGCAAGCTCTCCAGACATCCCACTTGAGGTGTGAAAGGCCTGGAAACTGCTACGACCACTTTGACTGTTTCCATTTCAGCTATCCACAGTGAAGTGATTAAAACGCTGCTCTGCATCTTACTAAGGAAAACCTCAGTGCTCTCACATGGCAATATTTATTCTGCACTCAAAAATACTGTTGCAGTGCCATAGCCAAAATATTTTACTGCACTCACTGCTCCTACACATGCTCCTCTATCTAAGTATAGGACTCAAAGTGGGACTATTTTTGCATGGTAACAGCTGGGCATTAAGAATTCGCAATACTCATATGGTGAGTTCGAGGGGCATTCTCCAACACGAAAAGCATCACAGAATCCAAAAAACGCTTTAGGTCTTTGGTTCCCTTGCGTAGAGTAAACAAGCCTTTTTCACTTTCCATCCCTGCTACATTCAGCCGGAGGAGGTTCATACCAGCACAGCTCCCTCTTTGTGAGGAGTTTGTGAGGAGTAACGTGTTACTACCGCATGATTGGAAGGCCCCGCAATATGGCCAGGTGTCCTGCTTCCACTCTGCTGTGCCGATGCTAACCTCCAGTAGACGAGTGTGGGGTGGTCACACAGGCACATGGCAAGCTGTCACAGTAAGATTCATCAAATCTCACATATATTTTTATCCATCTTTTTTTCACCTCTCCCTTATTCTGAAATTAACAAGTATCCACATGGAAAGCACACAACGCACTCTTCATGGAACCAAACTGGAGAAATACTGAAGGTGTATGAAAGACAATATATCTGCATACTTTTGCATGTACTATGAAATACATCCTGCGCTCTTACAGTCTCATTCTCTCAAAAAAAGGTACAGGAAGACTCATAGATCCAATGAAGCACGCATTGCTTTCACCTCTGCCATCTACATTGCTTACCTTCACTAACTGCATGAGGCTTAATAATGCAACAGGTACAGTTTGTGAATTTTGCACTGTTGGCTGGTCCACGACCTCCACTGGAGGGAAAGAACAACTCCAGCTCCTGAAAACAATTGTAATTGAATACATGTGAGATTGTTCTAGCTGCGTACATCAGCTTTTATCATAAGTAACAACATACAAAGTATCCATAGTCACAGAAAATAAACCTTAATTATACAGTTTTGTGCTACAAATATTTTTTCCCTATAATATTCTCAAAAATACATCTTTCCCTTTCTGGCACCATTGCTACAATAATAAAAACATGATCTGAATATTTCTTGTAATGCCTCATCACTTCTGCAATGCAATCCACTTCTATTCAGGGCTACTGCCACAACCATTTAGCGGAGGTGCTCCCAGTTTTTTGAATTCTCACTCCTTCCTCAGTATCCTTTCCATATATTTTTTTCTTCCCTCTTTTCACATCATCTTTTCTATTATATAGACAAAAGTGTGATGACCATCTATTTCTCAGTATGTTTTCTTCCCACACACAAAACTGACCTGCACCCCATTTGCTTACATTTTTTTCTTTTGCCTTAAACAACTATACTTTGTCTAAAATTGTTGATTTGCTCCTCACGCCTTATTTATCCTATTACTAATTTCTTTATCTTGCTGAATGGAAGTTGATGAGCTCAGTTGTTGTGATTTCTGGTATGAATGTAAAGAAGATCTTTGCCTCAAATCACTTCCTTTCTTCCCACCATCATTATTCAGGTATCATATAGCTGGGGTCTCAGACCATAGTGAGGCGAGCTTGGCAGCCAGGTTTCTTTCCTCTGGGATGTTTTTTTTCCACTGTTTGCTGCCAGCTTCACACTTTTTCCATACCATTTATTCAGACATGCTACAGAGTCTGCCAATTAACATCAGTAAAATGCTCAACACACAGATTCCATTTCAGACCCACTGGTCAAATTCAGTAAGAAAATCATTACATTTCTATTTAAGGGAAATACTACTACCGAATCTATCTGATTTGTTCCTGTGTAACAGCCATTCCCCGGAAACATCTCATTATTTTACTAGCTCTATTCAGATGAACTAGACTTAGCTATCTCCCTGTCTTTAGCTCATGGCACTGATGAATCCTGCAATCCTTACTTGAACAACTATACGATTCAAACTAATGGATCTTTCAACAGAAGAGAAAATAGTTTTTGTTCTTCTCCTAGCAAATAATCAATATTTTAAGTGGGTATATCTGAGACAAAAGGGTTAATTTCTTACATCCTTCTACTGATAAAATACTGCATGCTTCAAAGACCTTGTTCCACTCTGTTAACTAACGTGTACGCTAAACTAAGTAGCCAGGAAAAAGCAGCAAAATATTTATAATACTTAATATTTTGGTTTATCTATTAGAAGTCATAAAAGGAAAGTAACTACAAAATGTAGATGGGCTAGGACAATGAAATGCCAAACTACAACCAAGTGGAGCCTTAGAAAGAAAAATCTTTTTCTTTGCCTTTATTCCTGATCTAAAGAAATTGCAAAATTTGGCCTGCAGAGGGATAACCAGCTTAGAGTATACTAGAGGCATAATTCCACTTGTCATGTACGCCCCTTTCCCCCTCCCCCTAAAAAACCCCACAATCCACTCTTTTACAACTCATTAATTAAATGAAGTTGAGACTTCAGTTTTCTTTCAGAAGAGTTCGTTTAGATCCTTTTATCTTGTATTTCTTTCTTTTCAGCAAAGCTTCGGCAAGGTACAGCCAACTAGTTTCCACGGCAACTGCTATACAGCCATATAATACTAAGCCTTCTAAATTAAAATAGGCACGGGGGTATTAAATTCACAATTTTGGTTGATTTATTGAAGATTGGTATCAGTACAGCCACAAAGACGCACACACCTGCGAAAGCTCAGCCAAATAATCCCACAGTCATAAAAACGATGCTGCTGAATGGGGCCTTCAAACAGCATTTCAAAAAAAAATGAAATGCAAAAAGAAAAACAAACTGAAGCCAAAGCGCATACATTGCTTCTAATCAAAATTTTATGCTAATAGATACTCTTTCCTACACTCTCGGTTCAAAAGCTGGCACAGTTGTCACAGCAGTACACAGGAACAAAGAGAAACTTTCACCCTTATATACAACAACATCTAGCTATTTAACCAGAACTACAAAGACTTTCCTGACTATAATTCTCCTTTATCAGAAAAGATCAATCTCATCCAAACTCTTTCTGACTCCGTACCATCTTCATCAAGTCTGCCAGCAGAAAAAACACTTGAAGTAGAGCAAATGATTTCTTGTCGAAAGCAGAAGCACACGGAGAGGATCCAGCAGCCCCAACACGGTGCACAGAAGCGCGACAAGTGCCTAACCAGCGGAAAACTGTCCACATTTTGCAGTTGGCTCCCTACACCACCCAGCCCCACAGCCAGCCAGAAGAAGAGGTTTAGCAACGCCGCCCTCACCACCAGAATAGAATCTCTACGTGTACCCTCTAGTACACGGTATTTGGCAGCTTATTAGGTACTCCAGGGCAGGTCTCTCTCTAGCTGCACTACTGCAGCTGTTCCAATTTAAACAGAGGAAAGACCAAGATCAAGGAAGCAATAATTGGCAACTTTTCCCCGCTGGTCTAGAGCTAAGATAATACAGCACAATCCTGATCAATCGTAAGGTAAACTTTACTCTCATCATCATTTTTTAGTATATCTGCCCCGCAACAATGCACACAAATAGTCACCTCAATTGTGCAGACATGCTGGTATCACCCAGTCCCAGAGCTACTTTTTAGCACCAAGGAAAGACACACAGCAAACAAAGCAAAAGAGAACCTCAAAGCCAAAGTCTCAAAACATCTCAAAGCCAAGCCCACTGTACTGCCTGTCAAAATACAAAGCCCTACAAAATGGCCTGTTTTCGTAATTATTCATTCTGAAAAATAACAGCAGAGGAAAGTAGGCTGCAGGCAAAGGACTAGCAAGGACTGTGGAAGAAAATGGCTAAGCAAAACACAGGGAGGCACAAAAGGATTTAACTGTTTGATCCCTTTCTTTTTATGACCAACATCAGAGAGCTACAGGTTGATTACACAAACTATGCAAATAACTCAATGTTTGTGATGAATGGAAGACATTAAAAATGACCAGGCATGCTCTCCTGATCAAAGTGCCCAAGGTTCTCCTTTGTGACAGAGATAAACAAGATTTCTGGGTCCAGACAGTTTACTTTTTCCATGCTAGAAAGGATCCACGAAGAATATCCGAAATGGTTCTGAACTCAAGTGGGGGGAAAAAATGAGGAATTCCTGACCCAGCTGTTACCAGATAAAGAAAAAAATAAATCTCAGTCAACAAACAGTCAAAAACTTACTTGAGCAGCTGAAGCAACTGAATCTGGGCCATGAGCTGCATTTCTTAGGCCATCATGTCCAAAGTTGGCTCTAATGCTGTCTGGTGCGTCAGGCTGAGCCACTGCAGAATTTGCTGGCCCCAGTAATGTTTTCCATTTACAAACTGCATCATCTCCTAAGATTTCCATAGCAACAATGGGACCACTCGTTATAAAATGGAGAAGCTCACTGCAAAATGGAAATGGCACATGGTGATCCACACTGCAGATTAAAACCAACAAAAACATACGACCCAGTGCAGATGCTCAGAACTCAACTCGGCAAGGCCTCAAGCAACCTGATCTAACTTTGAAGTTGGCTCTGCTTTGAGGAGGAGGTTGTACAGACATTCCCTTCTTATTATGGTTGTAGAAAGAGAAGCAGATAATACAAACTCACTCAAACCACAGCGTATGTTAGACTTCAAAAGGAGTTTTAGAAGATCAGTACCGACAAAGAGACCCTGCTAACCATTTGTCTGACAGGAACGGTTCCTAAGTGTGTGTCTTTTGCACAGGAGGATGTCAGTACTCTTACACATGACCTGTGTGTGCTCCCCACTGACACAAGCTCAGCACTGCTGTCAGAATGGATTGCTCTGCTGCCCTGTGGATCTCTCCTGTGGATTTTGGCCAGAAAAAATCCAAAGTGGGAGAGAAGGGAGAATACGATTAGGATAGTTTGTAGGAGAGAGGAGACTTAACCACAAGGCGACCACATCCTGGCATAAGCAGAATTCAACTGATTTTAATGGGATGGATCTGAGCAAGGGAAGAGATTGTTGGAAGCAGCCTGCCCCCTGTCCTGACCACTTCACTCACATGGAAAATAAACCCCCAAATTGGAAACCCAAACCTTCTATTAAAAAACTAACCAGAACATTATAACTATAATTCTATATCTTTGTAAAACATGTAATACCAACAAGTCTGCCTTTTCACTATGCAGGCTAGAGAGACTCAACAAAGGAGAAAGCTGACTCGATGATTTTTGTACTACTATCTTAAAAAAAGAGCTTTACACAATTACAACTGTGGATGTGCAGGCTTCTCCAACCATCTTCTTCCTAATGATCATTTACACAATGACCAGTGGGTTCAAAAAGAAGAGAAATCCTACTAGTTCTTTGCTAAACAAATTGTATTAAACCCATGAAAAGTTAAATAAACATAAAGAAACTACACAGGGAAAAGCTATTGGAAGTCCATTACTCTTGGTCAGAAACTGTTCAGGATACGGTTAAACAGCTTACACATACATACACACAAGAAAAAAACATTTTCTACAACACCGCATACTGTGCAGACTAATCTTGAATATGAAATACATTTAAAAACTAAATTCCTTAATAGGAAAACATTTTTTTTCCAAACAAGTAAAATTGCTGGTTTTCCCTACTATTCACTAGACTTACATTGACTAGTGAACTTGCAAACTAAATATGAATTTAAAGACAAGTTATACAATGCTAAATTTGAGTCAGAGATTTTACACTTCACAGCCATGAAGATTCCTGTCCTGTTTGATTTGCAATGTTTTATAACTATTTGTTTCTAAACCAGAGAAAAATCCTACACAGAAGATGTAGCCAATATGACTGCAGGATGCGAGATGGGCACATCACAGCGAACAAAGGCTACAGTTCCTCAGATAATTACCATTAGTGTAGATAGACATCTCTGAAACAGCACTAGAGGCAAAATTCTTGCTTTTTTATCAACATATCCAAACAGGCTCACTCAGCAAAGAAAAGGCAATTCTGAATCTTCCTCTGGTCTCCAACATGGTGAAACATACCCTGGGGCCATGTCTCCACGAAGGGTGAAGGGCTTGAGCTTGGACCCGCAATAAAACAGTTGCTGTTGCAGGAGAGCAGCTGGCAGACCCTAACACTCAAGTACTTCATGACAGGACTGCAGCCAGATCTTTTGACCATGTCAGTGCAAACACAGATTCCAACATGGGTGAAAAACACAAGGCAGAGTGGCATCTTCTTCCTAAAAGAGGCAGACTACCAAACCCAGAGCGGCGGATAAGGAACGTGTTTGTTGGCACTTAGAGGCAAAGTAGAAACAACACAGTCTTTGAGTCATGAGCATCGGCCTGGTCAGTTATGGAAAGACTTGGTTTTTCATGTTAGATGGAGCAGTCTGGCATCAAGGAAGTCAAGTACCAAGGGTAGCAGCACAGTAAACAATAGTCCCATGCACTATCCTTTCAGTTACTTACGATCCAGGGTACCTGCTACCAAATAAATTATCTCGACTAAGTGTTCTCCCCTTATTCTCATTGCCTGCAAGCTCCACCCTGACCCTGAAGATGTTCCTTCCCTTGGCTTTGAAGTTTAGCCTTGCTAGGAGCATTTTAACTTCTGAGAGACCAAAGACATTCCCCTGATATCATCAGGCTGTAAAAAAGTGTGAGTTAAAGCCCTGAATAAGTGAAATAAAGATCTGCCCCTGAAGGAATATGAACAGGGTGCATACTCTCCAGAGGGCTCAACTCAGCTAAGACAAGTTCTGATTTTCCCATGGTCCTGCAGTACCAGACATGGTAAATGAATCCCGCACATTCAATAAATAAGTTTAATACATGTCAAGTTGAAATTGATATACCTACTTAAAAAAAGGTTTTGATTGATGGTCTACATATAAATCAGCTGCTTCTTTTCTGGAAGAGTAAAAAGACATAGATATGGATAAACAAACACACGCATACATATTTATATATAAATCCCCCTGAAAACCACAAACTATCATTCATCAACATGTTTCTGCAGGTAATGTCTTCCCAAGCTGGACATCTTGTGGGGTGTTCATGCGCAACAACAGAAACCACGTCCAACTTTCTGTTATGTTTTATACAGCTACAAACCATTCACTGTTGTTTTCACCTTTCATTTCAGTTTGAGTGTGCATGTTGGTTAAAGAAGTTTGGTTTTAAAGCACAAATAAACAATTTATCTGCTTCAATTGAACTTATTGCCTTATCAAGGCTAGAGTTTGATTACACTGGTGCACAACAGAATACTGGATAACTTGGTTTCTATTCAGTATCCTCAAATGTTACAAGTCACATAGGGAGCATAACACCCTCCAGACTAAAACTTGCCTTCTCCCACACTTTTCTACTTGAAAACTCAGTTTAGTCTTGCACTTCCCCTCAGGGAAAACAGCAGTTACTACACTCTGCTTTCTCCCAAAGCAATGGGGTTTCTGTAGACATGGTAGACATAATGCTTAGGGATATGGTTTAGTCGAGGACTTGTCAATGTTAGGTTAATGATTGGCCTTGATCTTAAAGGTCTTTTGCAATCTGCGCAACACTGTGAATCTGTGATTCTGTGAGATTCTTTGAGGAGGGGGCTCCTTACATTGCCAGGCAAATTAAGGCTGCCAGGCATACACAGTATGTTTACCACAGCTGTTACCGAGCCTGTATGCAGGTACTGGAAGCAAAAAGATACCCTCTGCAGACAGGGTGGTGGCCCTTTCCAAGCTCTGCATTGCCACAGCCACGCTGCTGGCAGCCTTGGGGCTCAGCTACCCAACTATACGAATTTCAGGGACCACAGTACAAACCCACCATCCATCCACCTCTGGGGGCATAACGTTCCGTGGCTTTTTGGCCCACCACATCTTGCAGCTAACCAATCTACTCTTTTCCCTTATTTTTTCTCCAGCTGTTTCTCATGTGTTTTTCCTCGAGCTGCTTCTCACGCTTAATTCTTGCTTACTGCACTGCTTTTTCTGCTCAGCAACAGCTAGAAAAATCCATGGAGGTTTTCAAGTTAATTTGCAGCTTTGAAATTCCAGTTCAGAAGTGCAGGCTTAGTCTTGCTCCAAATCTGGGAGTTGGTGGAAAAGAACTAGTTCTCTGGGAAGATTGACAGGTGAAAGGAAGGAATATTGCTCAGTTCTGCTTTGGGTGCAAAGTTCATAATCAAAGCAGGGCTACAGGGAGACTAAAAAATCCCCACTTGGAAAATTGTTTTTACCTGCAGAAACAGTCTTCTGAGTTTTTCTGGTCTCCATTATCTTGCCCACTTTGAGCAGCTCTCTTTACTGAAAAAAATCACCTGCATGTTTTTCAAATAACAGATTCCAAATAACAGTGTGAACAAAGGATCAGTTCTGTCGTCTGCAATGGAACTTCTTACATCTCTCTCCCATTTAGAGTCCAGCCTTAAGCCCAATATTGCTAGAGGGAAGAAATAACCTCAAGCAGAACCTAAGAAGAATTTAATTTTCATAATCTTCACAAATATTTGAACAGTTACAGCTTTCTCTAGCTTTTTTATCAAAATGGCCAGCTGCTCATTGAAACTGAATAATTCCTGGTGTGTTGCTTTCAATTCAGTGTAATTCAAAATTCTAAAGATTTTCATTGACCAAACAGCTAATATGTTTTCCTTCCATTTCATAACTAGGGCAGAGACATGATTTTAAAATTATGCTAGTCACAGCAACTCTTGCAATCTCAGGCTTCAAACCTACACTCTGCAAAGAGCCTGAAGGTTTTGCTTACAATTCACTATTTCACCAGAAAATCCTATTCTGAAACTAACTCACCAAACAATTTTGGAAAGCAAATATGAAAAAGGTACGCAAGATTAAGCATTATCATTTCTGAACGCAAAGAAATATTTGGGGGATATATTTCTGAAAGAATGACCTCTGCTACTCAGTTAAGAATTCCTACAGCAATAAACATAAACTGCAGTTGTGCTGTATAACTTAGATCCTTTTCCATTTCAACTCCCTCGTTCATTTTCTGCTTTTAAAGATTGGAAAACAGTGTTCATCTGGGAACAATACACAGAACTGACATATGATTAAATGAACAGACTAGAGAGCTGACCTAACAAAGCAGGTGCCTGCCCTCACTATTATGTTTTGGTTACAATTTTTACGGAAGGTATCAATCTACTTAACAGTGATTGCTGGACAAATGTCAGTAATAATCCCTTTAAAGAAAGTGGCAGATGATGCTGCGAGTTTGAACAAGCACGCCCACAGAGATCTAAGGGTAGATGACTTTGGCAAAGCCATAGTTCTATCATTTTAAAATGGCACAGTCCCAAGAAACAGAGTATATAGTATGCAGAGAAAACCACAAATGCTCTAGACATTTTTTTAAATATATCTAGTATCACAGCTCAATCTTGTATAATTGAAGATAATCATTAATAAACACAAGACAAGCAGAATTTTTTTAGGTAGCTATAGGCAAGGAAAGTTCCAAGTCTCAAAGCTCCTCCAGAGGAGGGCCATGAAGATGATCACAGGGCTGGAGCACCTCCCCTGTGAGGACAGACTGAGAGAGTTGGGGTTGTTCAGCCTGGAGAAGTCTCCAGGGAGATCTTAGAGTGGCCTTTCAGTACCTGAAGGGAGCTACAGGAAAGCTGGGGAGGGACTCTTCATCAGGGAGTGCAGTGATAGGACGAGGGGTAATGGTTTCAAACTGAAAGAGGGCAGATTTAGATTAGCTTTTAGGAAGAAATTATTTTCTGTGAAGGTGCTGAGACACTGGCACAGGTTGCCCAGAGGAGCTGTGGATGCCCCTCCCTGGCAGTGTTCAAGGCCAGGCTGGATGGGGCTTGGAGCAACCTGGTCTGGTGGGAGGTGTCCCTGCCTATTGCAGGGGGTTGGAACCAGGTGATCTTTAAGGTCCCTTCCAACCCAACCGTTCTATGATTCCCTTCAGTGCAAGTCAATTCCAAAGCACTTGACTTCGTCCAACAGTTCTCCAAGGTCTCAGATACACACAGAAATAAAGAACCACCCAACACAAAACTTCAGGGTCAAATCTCTCAGTAGTGGAAAAATTGTTCCTGGCCTCACACAGATATTACAGGAACACATGAAAATAGTATTACATAAGACAGAGAGCTTTTCTTTTCAAAGACACTTTGTATGTCAACAGGTTTGGTAAAGCAGCAAGGAAGAAATAGCACAGTAACTTTGCGGAAGTCTAGGATAAATTATGTTTTCTTTTCTCAAAATAGCAATGAAGAAATAGCACAGTAACTTTGGGGAAGTCTAGGATAAATTATGTTTTCTTTTCTATGCAGCATGCCTTTTTTTAAATCTTGTGGCTCAACAAGACAAGTGGAGAATAGTGAAGGACGGGGGGGATTAGGAAGATGCAAGAGTAAAATCTGTCCAACCTTGCAGCAATATCAGAAGATCACCTGCTTTGCCTGGGACTTCCAGGCATTAAAAAACAAACAAGCTTGGGTTCTGAGAGCACAAATTATAACAATGGATTCATTGAGAGCGAACAAACCAACTATTTTAAAGATGCTTTTATAATCAGCAATATGGTTTATATCAGGAAGTTATGAGATTAGGACATACAGGCACGTCAGCAGTAAACACTGCTGAATTGCTAAAGCTATAGTAGTCACCTTGGATTCATACAAAGACCTTACTCATTTAATCACCCATAATCGTTTGCACAGAACTTTTTAGCTTAATCCTCCACATCCTTTCAGAAACCTACATGCTTATGAAACTGATGACTCTTCCCTCTGTTACTCACCGGAATGGATTTGATGTGTAGAACAAAACAGGATAACTTCAGAGAATGTTCTTAACTGCAAAAATAATATTGAGATACAATAGACCTAACCTTAAAAAGTCCTTACCTTGAAAGTACCATCATTTTGGCCTTAGTTATTGTAAATCCTGCATTAATGATGATATCAATCAATTCTCCAATCCTAGGCAATGCATCAGGTTTAATCAAAGCCAGCGTTCTGGGAGAAAAAAAACAAACAACAAACAAGTAGAGAGACACAGCCAACATTATTTTCCTTAGAGGGTCTCGTGTGCATGTTAAGTTTATATTCAGACAAAAATACAGCCAACATTATTTTCCTTAGAGGATCTGGTGTGCATGTTAAGTTTATATTCAGACAAAAAAAAAAAATCACATCAAAGAGAGAAATTCTGCTACAGTCAAACATCCTAGTCCCACCGTCTCATCAATTTCCATGCTGTTCTTGAACGCATTATTCTGATAAGAACAAGCTTTGCACATTACAATTTCCTCGGCTTTCTAACCCAAGTCAGCCCACAGTGTTTCACCAGCAGTCATTATTTACTGCCTTCTCCCTTCACTCTCAGAGTAAATAACTTGACCACTTCTTCCTTAGTGACTGTATATTTCTATAGCTCCTCATTCACAGCTCTGGGCTGGAACACCTGATTTGCTAATGTCTCCCTATGCTTGCTCAGGTCCCTGTTTTCCTAACGTTAATCATTACAAAAATGAAACTGTTACAATTCCCTATTTAAAAATACCACTCAAACATGTGCTTCTTAGATAAAACTCAAAGTGGAATGATTGTTTTATTATTATTTTTAACATATTTGGAGGCCTCCGTGAGATGGAGGTCCTATTGTGCTTGGTGCAGTACACACACTTCGTGGTATACAATTTGCACGTCAAATAGCTGATGCTGTTAACAGACACAATAGAAGGTTGGCAGAGGAGATACTACGTCTCTTACAGTGACTGACAGCTATATTCTAAGGAAGATCAATCCAAAAATCTCCATTCTCTCCCCCACATCTTTGTTTCCAAGTACATCCTGTCTTCCTGATAATTATCTTTTTATACCGTATATCCTCAAGGCCAGGACTGTTTTATTAGTGTCCTTTGCTTAGCACCAAGTACACCATCAGCACTAAACATATTATTAATCAAAAATAACAAGCACAAAAAGAAGGTCTGCAAAATGGCATTTTCTATTTGCATTCATCTTGCAGTGAGTCAGCTTCAAATGTGTTCAGCTTACAAATCAACAGATTTATTCAACCCTGTAGCTCAGAAACTCCATATCTCTGACAATGCTAAAGAGGTCTTTCCACCTTTTACACTATTTACAATAACGAAGGCTACCTAAGATAGAATTTTTTATTGCACTACTTCCCAAAACAAAAGGCAAATAATTGGAAATTTCTCATTTTATACATTAGCATAGCACAGAAAGCAGTCCTGAGGTTAGCAGCAATATATTCCAGCCAGGGTAAATATGTTGAGGTTACAGGAGATGGATGAACTTCTACTACATTTACTTTGAACCTTAAGTGACTCCTGATTGACAGATGCTTTGAGAACAGGCAATCTATTTCACCACAAGGAAGGGAGGTGTCATGACCAGTAAATATAAAGAGGGAAGATTTGAACATACGTAACATTTCATCTGAAACTAAGGGAGAGGCATAGATGACCTTCAAACCTCAAAAACAGATTTCGTCAAACATCGGGAGGCTCATATACACAGATCAGCTTAGGCCCGGATCTGTTGTGAAATATGACAGGCCCAGCTCTGTTGGGAGATACGACACAAAAAGACTGACGGAATAAGGGTGCAGCCAGAAACTGCAAAAGAGTAGTCAACCCAGCCCAGGCTTCAGTGCACTGCAGTGCAAACTGCAGTTGGTTCAGCCCTGTCTTCAGATAGGGATTGTTTAGTCTGGAGAACAGGATGCTGAGAGGAGACCTCATTGCTCTCTACAACTACCTGAAAGGAGGTTGTAGGGAGGTGGGTGTTGGTCTCTTCTCTCAAGTTACTAACGATAGGACAAGAGGAAATGGCCTCAGGTTGCACCAGGGGAGGTTTACATTAGATATTAGGAAAAATTTCTTCACAGAGAGTGGTGAGGCATTGGAGCAGGCTGCACAGGCAAGTGGTGGAGTCATCATCCCTGGAAGCGTTCCAAAAACATGTAGACGTGGCACTTCAGGACATGGTTTAGTGGTCATGGCAGTGTTGGGCAGACAGTTGGACTAGGTGATCTTAGAGGTCTTTTCCAATCGTTCTGATTCTACGATCAGGAAGAGCTGACCTCTGGCCAACAGTCAACACAGTTTGCCAGGATACTCTGGCGCAGTTTGTGGCTTGTAACCTGCTCCCCTCTTCCCCAAGGACTTCACAGCTCCACCTCATTTTGTGATATTATTTATCACATGACAGGGTATGCCGCGTGCATTGAGACACATGAAGGGAGCAGCCGTGTGCTTGACCGATGACACATACCCACCAGGGTCACACAATGCCTGATCTGCGTCCTGGCATAAGAGGTTTTTGACTCTGTTATTTACCATGGACAGTAAGGATCAAGCCACTGGAACAAGACTTCCAGTGCCATTTGCGCTTCTTTGAGGAATACTTTTTTGAATCTACATTTTCACAGGCTATTTGAGATGGACTGCTAATGCTAGACTTCCTTGAGGAATACTTTTTTGAATCTACATTTTTACAGGCTATTTGAGATGGACTGCTAATGCTAGAAATAAATTGCTCCTCGCTTTTCTAATTTTGACCTTTCTGGTAAAACTGCAGTTCCTACCAATATGTACTGAAATATTTCACTACAAAGCAATTTACCTAGAAGACATTAACACAAATTGCAATGAGCAATTCTAATTTCTCTAACACTGATATACAAACTGAAACATTTCAGTGTGAGCTTCTCAGAGGTATGCTGGAAAAGTAAAGTATAAGTCAGGATGCTGTAGACTGTTTCTGAGATTGGATTTTGATTCATGTGCCCTATTTTTAGTTTTAATTAGGAATATGTGTCTTGTGGTTTGACATGATGCAGTCTGCAAAGTACATTTTGAAACCGTTTTATGTCTAGGAACAAAGGAGAAGGAATGAAAATTAAGCTCATTTGCTTACATTTTCAGAGGGACTGTACAACAGTACTGCAATGAGTACTGAAACAAGAGAGGATGGGAACTGATCAAAGGAATGGTGCACAAAGCATGCTCTGGCTATGCTCTTGAGATCTACTTATTTCTAATAATAGGACTGTTACATGCACAGTAGCTTATGTCTTGTAGGGGAAGAAACACTGATTATGTCAATGACTAATAGCATAAGAATACCATATCCCAGTTAAAAAAGAATTCAAGTATTTCTGGTGGAGACACAAGCTTCCTAACACCATTGTCAAACCCAGAGATATCAACTGACTCTAAGTATAGTCTACTTAGACAGGACACACTAGTCAGATAGATTTTTACCTCAGGTTGCAACCACTTAGGACCACAAGTGAAAAGCTACAGAAACAGAAATCCCTGTCCCACACCAGTGGCCCCATACATGGCATGCTGTAAGTAAGCACATGCTTACTTCACTATTTCAGTCGCTGTTTACGATGGTTTCCTTATGACACACTGGGAGGGGAGTGAGGAAGAAGAATGCTCAAATACTGCTGTATTTAAAAATTGACCCAAGACTTAAGAAAGGGAGGTATAGAAATTGAAACTCCATAGAACCATCTTAATTTTAGTCTAATTCTATAAAAGGCTTGTACAAATCTAACCTCTTTTTACACACCTGTTTTGTACTTCATGTACCTAGAAATGCATTCACTTACTTTACCGACAAAGGTCCCTAATTAAATATTCAAGATTTTTTTATATACATTCACAGAATCATAGAAGGGCCTAGGCTGGAAGGGACCTTAGAGATCATTTAATCCAACCTCCCTGTCATGGGCAGGGACGCCTCTCAACTAGATCAGGCAACACATGGGGGCCGAACGGGGTTCCTCAGTGTTCCTCAAAGGCTTCTGCTGAGCTTGTCTGCACACATATTCTGTATTTCTAAAGTCAAACTAAACTGCCGACAGTCCTGTACAGCACAAAGGCAGCAAAGAGACGGGGAAACATTCTTCCTCATGCAACATTCTTAAAATTATTAACTGAGTTCCAACTACAGATTATTTTAGGAATTGTTGCATGTTGCACAAATCTTACTACATTTCTTTAACTAATAACTGATGTAAAACCTGCTAGGAGGAGGTCTAAAAGACAAATGCAACTGTTTTGCCCAAGGACTCTTTTAATATGACCCTGTTTATCCAGTGAAAGCTTCTGTGAAGTAACTGGGTTTTGAGGATCCTTTGCCTGTGTAAGACACCTTTCACTATGTTCCTTTGGGCTATTCTGAATATGTAACACCACTCACATATCTATGTTATCTTTCAGCCAACATTCCTAAAACGTTTTCCAAACAGTTGACATGTCATAAATTCTCTTCCTTCCTTTTGTAGAGCGGTACAAAAATTCGCCCCCTCCTAGGACCACTTCATTGACATAACTATAGTGTTGCTGTATAGATGGCGACAATCCTTACAAAGAAGAAAACATCATTTGACCAAAAGCTGCCTTTCCTCGGTATAACTACCTCAGCACCAGGGCCTACACTAGTTTAGGTAGAGTAGGAAATACACAACTATAAAAGCTATATTGATACAAAACCCATAAACAAGACTGATGCAATCTACTCAGGGCTCCACAGAGGCACAGAGAGAGTAGCTACACACACAGTTGTCATCTGGTGTTCTCCACCTCCTTTGCTACTCTTCTACCATGTCTAGCCCCAGCTTGGAGAAAAAGTACCAGGAGTCCTTCTGGAAATGTTTTATGGCAGTCATTTCCAACGCAATAGTTTTGTGGAGTTAAGAAAAAAATGTGTGTTAAAACTCACAGCCCTTTCTGTATGCTTGGTTATGTACAACTCTACAAAAAGAATTCAAAATAAGCCCAATTAGTGGGAGGGAGCAAGAAAGTAGGCAAATAAGGCTCACTGAAACTTCATACCTAAGGAAATATTCTATGTTCCTTTCACGAAAAGCTAGAGTAAATTATCAAAATTAATAAATTTGCAAATTCAGATATTACCAGCACTGCAGTCATACTAGATTTAAATTCCCTGTAAAGGACAACAAAGCTGGTGAAGGGTCTGGAGAATAAATCTTATAAAGAGCGATTGAAGGAGCTGGGCCCATTTAGTTTGAAGAAGAGGAGGCTGAGTGGAGATCTCATCACTCTCTACAACTACTGGAAAGGACATTGTAGAGAGGTTGGTGCTGGTCTCTTCTCACAGGTAATTGGTGATAGAACAAGAGGGAATGGCTTCAAACTGCAACACGGTAGGTTTACTCTGGGCATTAGGGAAAGTTTTATCACTGAAAGAGCAGTCAGACATTGGAATAGGCTGCCCAGGGAGGTGGTTGAGTCACCATCTCTGGATGTGTTTAAAGGTCATTTAGATGTGGTGTTGAGGGATATGGTTTGGGGTGAGCTCTGCAGAGCAAGGTTAACAGTTGGACTCAATGATCCCAAGGGTCTTCTCCAACCTAAATGATTCTATGATACTATTCTGTGATTCTAATCTTATTGCCATTTTATTAAGTCTCTCCTGATATTTTTGTTCTTGGATGGGCTCTTAAAGTCTTTTCCAAAGCAAGTCTTTCAACCAAAAAGAGAAGATGACTCTTATCTGTATCTGTTATGAACAAAATTAGGCTTGACAAACAAGCCTACAGGTTTTATTGACATTCCTACTCTAGACTTCCTGTCCTCATGCACACAGCATTCAGGAGATGCTGAAAAAAATCTCAGGGAAAAAAAAAAAACATTCATAGTGGGAAAAACAATGGAGAATGGGAATGGGCTTCTCTCACTACTGTTCCTACTGTTTTCAGTTAAACTGCTACTAACTCAGAGTAGATCAGACTGGTAAGGCACTGAGCTTCTGCACAGATCCAGAGAGACAGGTGCTAGTTTTGTAAGATCCAAGCCTCTCGAGCCCAGCACACATCAGGTTTACGATATCAATTTTGCCCCAAGAGAGTATACGTATCACAAGAATCTTACTGGTGCCTGCCTCTGGGGAGTAACAAAGCTGAACAGGACTCCCTGTTCTCCTCACCCCCCTCTTCCCTCCCAAGAGATCTAGAGGAGGCAGCATGGAGAAGCTGGCCTTAAGGATTTATCAGGTAACACTGGCAGTCATGGGTTTGTCCACAAGCAGGGATCACTTTGCTTCTTTCCTGCTATCAGTATGCCAGATCACTACAAACTGCACGCAAACATGTAGCTATCTCCTCCTCTCCACATAGTACAGAAAACTTATCTCACTTCCAGCCAAGAACAACTATGTTGAAAACCTAAAGATTTCAAAAACCATGTCTTCTTACCTCTCTTTGCGGCTCCCTAGCTTCCGGGCTGTATATTGATCCCCATAGTCCACTAAGGATAGATGACGGGAGAAAATAGTTATTTTGTTGCCCACAAATAAATCCTCAAGGTGTAAGCTCTCATACTTGGTGCGTTTCAGAAAAGTGCGGTGGTTCTTCACATCATACTGCAGAAAAAAAAAGAGATTAAAATCTACCATAGCAAGAGATTACAGTTGTGAGAAAACTCAACATCATTTTTATTCTACCTTCAGAAATTTCCATAGTATTGTGGAATTGAATCTGATCAATAAATTGATTTAGTTCCTAATCCTCTGAACTTAGAGGTGTACCAGGAAAGCTTAAAAGACTAAGCCACAATTAAAAGTTTATTCCATTTAAGCAGTCTCAGGCTGACAGGTACCTTTGGATTTTTTTATTTTATCATTTGCTTGTGCTATTTCAAGCTGTGATAAATGGTTCAGGTGCCCCGTGGATATCTCTGTCAAGTATCCTTGAGAGTTTTCCCTAGCAGATCTATGGTGTTTCACAGACCAATGGCTCGCCTCAGGAAGAATCAAGATACACACTGTGGCAGCTCTCCTTTTCAGGACATCATTCCAGCAATATTATGCTTTATTGCACTGCATAAGACTCAGAATTAGGGACGGATGGATGATTGCAACACTAGGTTGAGATGTTCTGACTGCCTAGAGCTGCAAGCTCAAAAGCCTGTCAAGACAATTCAGCTATCTATCATCATTCCAAGCAAGAAGCAAGATGTTAATATGTAGTTTTCTGGGTGGGTTGGTAAAACACAAAACACAACCTGCTGAATTGTTTCTTCACTGTATGTAGGTACTACAGATGTCTTCAATTTCCTGGGGTAGTGTAATCCTATGAAAGGAAATTTTGTGCTACTCAGGCCAAACGTCCCCTTCTCTGTCTTGAATTACATGTACTTTCATCCATTGCAACAGTATATAGACAAGAACAGCAATAATTCCCACAAATTTGGAGGAAAAAATTCAGAGCAAAATTATATACTCCTCCATGTTCTGAAATGTGTGAATACTTTCTTTCCTCTTAGAAGGTTAAAAGAATCGTAAGTTTTTCCAGAACAGCTAAAACTTTGCAGATCAAAGAATATAAGTTATTTGATACTTCCTTCTGCTGAGATAAGATTATAAAGAGGAACTCTTCCCTGCTGAAATGTCTTTAGCCCTTCATATATTCTTCTACTAAGTGTCCTCTATCCAAGTGCGGTAGGGAATAAAATGAGAATATGATGAAAAAATAATCACTTAAATTCAGCTATTTGATATTTTTTCGTGGACTTTGCCAGGAAGCATATTAACTGTATTGATCAGATTCAAATTCTTCACTATCTTGACCAAGAATCTGAACACTTCCTCGGTTATTTCACTAACAGTTGCTAGAAAGGCATCCCAAGCTGCTTCTTCTCTTCTCAAGCAAAAGATAAAGGTAGAGGGGAGGCATCTACCTGTGTTAAATAATTTTTCTTTAGAGTCAAGTTTTGGATCTATTTAAAAGACCATCTCATAAAGTAAATAATAAGCCACAGCAAAAGAAATGTAAGACTGTTTGGACTGTTCCCCTCCTGTCCATGTCCACATCAAATTAAATTATCCAAAACAAAACATCTGCCTGCTAAAAATCTGTCCTTTTTAAAGATTTCTTCTGTCTTTTTAGGAAATCTCCTGTAGAAAGAAAAGTTCTTCAGGTTAAAAGAGATATTGACTATGGAAAATTCAGAGAATGGGGCATCTCTTTGTCAAGAGATCCAGTCTGGTAAGAGATGCTTCCTGGACAAAAACTTATGTTGCCTTCTTCCAGCTGCAAAGCAAGCTGGAAATTTGTGTCATTCCCACTGTCTTTTTTCTTCATAGGAACTAAGACATGAAGAAGCAAGAGAGAAAAGGAAAGCTGAGGACTTCACATATCACAAGCCTTCAACAGCTCTGCTCCATCCTTGGCTGAGGTGTGTGATAAAGGAAATCTATTGTCAGGGAGGTGGAAGATGGCATGTAACATCTTTCTCTCATAAGCAGGGAGAAACTGGCTCATACTGATTCCCTCTCTTCTCCTCAGATATGTTAGAGGTAAGATGGGGCTGTCATCTCCTCAAGAAGATACTAAAGGATGCAGCAGAATTAAGCAGTAATAAAGAATCACCAAATTCTGCAGAGAATTTTAAAAAACAAATCCAGAAGAGAATTCTAAATTTATTCTCTGTCTACAAACTCACTCCCAAGAGTTTTTGAGGTATTCTTTCTATAGAGGCGTTACATGTATTTTTGCTTTTCTAGTTCCCATCCTGATCACACACAGTCCATACACACTCATGACCATGTACACACCACACTATCTTAACTTAAGAGCACATTAGCAAAATGCAAAAGTCTCATAAGACATAGGTATTTGATGCTGAATGCATTAAGGAGCTCAAGAGCACCTTAAAAGCTCTTGCTTTTGAGACGTCTAGGTGAAATGAACAACAATTTTGCCAGCCTACACATGGTTGTGTAGGAAGATTATTACAGCTCCTGACTGATTAGCTAAACTGTCTCTGGGAAATAAAAAACTCACATTTTGACAACTGTGCACGCACAGACATCACACAAAGAACTAACTTAAAAAAGGACAATATCATGATAGAGTTTGTTTAAAGAAACTATCAGTAAAAAGTTCAAAGGGCATCTCCTCACACAGGTGGTGGGTACCATGGTTTCAGGAAGCAGTAGTTTGGGTAAGAAAAGGCAGATTCCACTAACTTTCTTATTTCTGCATTTCATGTTTATAGCAGGAAAACTAAAATTTAATAGCAAAATTACTAAGTATGACTATCCAAATCTAGGTTATTTTCAGACCTTTAGGTCTTCATTAAAAATCAGAAAAGGCTACTCCAGACCAGTCACTCATTCCTAAATGGAAGCACAAAGCATTGGTTGGTTTATTAGGATTATCTTTAGAGTACATATTACATTTATACATACATGCCTGCTACTGCAAAATGTTTGGTTTAACCTGCTATGAATAAACAATGGGGATTATCTGTATGAACCCACAAGTCAGAAAGGTCTACACAAGCACTACTGAGGAAAAAATTCAGATCCCACTGTCTAAAACATAATTCCTTTCATTAAAACCAAATTAAGAGCAATTTACCATTTCTTCTACTTCTGTAAGACTCTCTTACACTTTATTCTTCAGAGACTTCTGGAATTCCTGATGAAGCTTATTACCCTATTTGGAATTAGATTCAATTTATGTTTCTCAAGCAGTAGGTCAGTGTCGTCGAGTTTCAATTCTGAAACCCAAGTAGGAACTGAATGAAAACAGATTTGTGAAAATTAATCTCTCCACTCTAAAGAAAGATTTAAGGAAAAAAAAGAATTATGAATGTGGGAGCTCTTCCACATGCTTCACTGTGAACTTGTATTTTTGCTTGTCTTTTAGAAACAGAGCAAGATACATCTTAAATTACATTTTCCTTACCTGGAAAATTAATAGGCATAGGCAGTGGCTTGCATTTTACAAACTGTTTAATTGGATATTTCACTTATGACAATAGATTTATTTTTTTCTTTTGTTCTTACCATTTCAACTGATCCATCTTTTGGATAATAGAGAAGTTCGTAACGCCGAAAGAGTGAAGCATTTGGGTCATACCATTCAGCAGTAAAAGCAAACCTGTCATCTTGACTCTGGAAAAAGGAGGGGAAAAGGGGTATTACAGAAAGCATACATGTTTTATATGCAAACTCACGCAAATACAAAATTTCCTTGCAGTTCTTATCAGAAAAGTAAAAAAAAAAAAAACAAACCACTAGTAAAAGCACTTGCACCTCACCTTTAAAGTATGATGGAGACAGCATGAGTTTTCCAGGCAATCTCAAAACTCATCCTGATTTCATCAGTCACAACATACGGACTGTTGTAGAAGCTGTTGTTAGACTTAACTTTGTCAAAGTATTTGATTTATTTTCATTTGTTAAAAATGTGTTTGCTCACAACTGAATTACAGAATCCTAACATATTTTCTACACATCCTACAAGAAAATGCTTTCCTCTTCCTGAGCAGTCCCATCTGAACTCCTGCTAATGACGAGATAAACATATTCAACTTAAGGACAGCATTAGTTTGATTCACTTCTTCACTTCCTGAAATTTACATAAAGCCCGATCTCATTTACAACTCATTTTCTGCCCCTAAGGAATGTGACAAGAAAGCTAGAATGAAATAATCAAAAACTGAAGCCACATATGTAGCTACTCTCCTGTCTTCATCCTTCAGAGAATAACCTCCTACACGAAAGCAAGCACCAAAGTGATGCAGCGGACGTGGACGCACAATTTTAACACCTCTCAGTGGTGTATGTTTGCTGGCTACTGAGACTGCAACATTAGTTATTTGATAGCTGTTAGACGGAGCTCTAAATATTTTTTTTTCCATGCCTGTTCTAAATCTGATTGTTGCTTCTGAGGGTAATCCCAGTCTTGTTACAGGCTTCCACTCTTCAGATGTATCTGTACTCTTCTTAGGCATTTTAAATATTTAGTTATCACTGGGAGTTCAAGTCGAAGCCATGAAGGCCTTTTTAGTCCTTCAAATTTTAGAAAGTAGTAGCAGTTCAGTTGTTTCAAAGACTGCTCAATAAGAAACAGCACAGAAAGAGTTCCTATGGGCTTCCATGACTATTCTGGAACACAACAGGCAAAGAGTCATAAGCATTTTCCTAGTGAGAGCAAGCCTATAGACGTACAGGTATTTTAAAACAAACAAAAAAAACCCAACTAAACAAAACCACACACACACAAAATAATCCAAAACAACAACAGTGATCTTGTTTCGTTGACAGTATATTTTTTTGTTTCAGCATCTTCAGCTTAAACCTGGCTTCTCACTAAGTGCTTTTGCAGGCTGAAGTCGTAAGACAAGCAGCAGCAGGAAAAACCGAGAGAATGAAGAACAATTTCAGAACTTTACAACATGATGAAGAGTTGTACCTATTCAGTTAACAGCATCATGGCAAGTGCCCCACTCTCCTGTCAGACCCCTACAGTGCAAAACAAAGGTACGATTCTATCACAGAAAGATGCAGCAAGGGGAGCACAGTGCTCTGTGAAGGATGTGAAGCGCTCATTTCTAACTGTAGAAGTCCGTATGGCGATTAAAGTGTTATTTACATGAGTTATTTTAACTTCTGTGTTATCTCTACACTACACGCTGCACCTTTGACAATACTTCAGTTTTAGGTGCAGGATCCAGCACTAGAACTCCCTAGGGACTTTGCTTGGTTTCTGGCCTTTATTTAAGCTAGACATGCTTGTGTCTTCATTGCTACTGCTGTTGCTCTGGAGATACGCAAGACAAAACAAACTCTTCCTTATGTCAAAACTCACACCTTCGTTATTCTATATAGGCATGTCGTTGGCAATAAGCAATAGTAAGGCAGACAACAGACAATGACTGATTTCAACCTTGATCTTAAGTACAGTCATACGGCTGCAAGACAAGATAAAACATCTGATCGATTAATTTGACCATCATCTTGTCAAGGATGGATGTTATAGAGAAGCAGTTCTCTTCCATAGAAGTTGTCTAAAATGAAAACCAGCCCTATCTCCAGAGTACTACCTCCAGAAGTTGACTAGTGATGTATGAAATTAAAAAAAGATGCACCATCCTTAATCAATGCCTCCTCATAACATGAAGACATAATGGAGTTAATTCATGCTACCTATCTCATACTATAGCATCATCTTCAAATATATTTTATAGATAACATTTGCCAGAGAAGCTACTAGCTCCTATTTAAACAAAACTTCCAAAATTTCCAAATCCTTACATGTCTCATGAGAATAATGTATCTAAGTGTACAAGCAAAGAAAACACCATTAGATTTTTCACTTAGTTACCAGTATCAGTCATCAGCAACTACATGTTTACAGGGGGAAACTACATTGTGTGTCTTGTCTGGTGAGGAATTAATCTGCTGTTTTTCTTTTAGCACATCCTTGCTTTTAAGATCTATTTGTTCTAATTCAATGTCTAAGCTATTCATATCTGTTACTCAGCAAGCTCTGCTGGCCCCTGCTTCTTTTTCAGCTGAATGGCCAAAATGACCACTCTGCTACTCAGACTTGAAAAACACTGCAGAGCTAACCCCCAAATGCCCAATAATGTCATCAGTAAGCAGGAAAAATTAACTCTGTTATTATAAGCTATAACACAGGAAGTTCCACTTCAACATGAGGAGAAACTTCTTTACTGTGAGGGTGACAGAGCACTGGCACAGGCTGCCCAGAGAGGTTGTGGAGTCTCCTTCTCTGGAGACTTTCAAAACCCGCCTGGATGCGTTCCTGCGTGGCTTCCCCAGGGGATCCTGCTCTGGCAGGGGGGCTGGACTAGATGATCTTTTGAGGTCCCTTCCAACTCCTAATATTCTGTAATTCTGTGATTCTATACTGTACCTGGAAAATATGGAGAGCTAACAGTTCTCTGTAACAACCAAAACAAAGTCTATGAAGCTTCTCCTGGGCCATAACTAAAATTTCCTCTGCTTTATGGACAGAAAACGATCACAATAAATATTTCTAAATGCAGAGAACAATATCAGAAGAAAACTTCAGAACTTATGGGAAATGCTGTAAAAATAATTGGAAACCGATTATGTTTGTCAACAGGTAGACTGTTTCAGAGGCATACACTGCAAAGTGAAGAAATTCAATACTAAAAGCAAACTGAAGAATCTGCCAAACAAGTATAATGTAAAACACAGGACTGCAATTTTACTACTGTAGATTCATGCAAGTAGTCTCAAAACAGTGAGAAGATCATCTCAAATACAATCATGACGCGAAGTAACGCCAACATATCCTGGAGAGCCCTTGCCAGGCATGTAAAACTGCCTCTCCAAGTCATCTAAAGCACTAATCAATTTAAAATCATAACTTCTAAAAAGTGAGTACATATTAAGCCCATGATACATCTTTTTAACATGAGAACTTATTTAATGCAGGAGTAGGATTCTGAAAGCAAAAACCATACACAAAAACCTGTCCACTTCCCACCTCATATTGAAAGGATTGCAGTAAGATTTGAAGTCTTCAGAGCTCTGAAATTATTTTTCCTCAAAATTTACTTTGAATCAACTTCCTGCTCAACCAACAGAACTGGTACGGCAAACAACTTTCCCACATACTCTCTCCCTAGTGTGCCCTAAACTGCAATTGCAAAGGAGTCTCAAAGGTGAGCAAGTACTACAGCAGACATGCTAAGTTTCATCCTTGGCTTCTGTTCATCCTCCTAACACAGGAAACTCTGATAGAAAATAATTATCCAAAGCAGAGTGATCAGAGATCAGCGATGATCTGCCCGGTGGTATTGTGTTCAATGTACCACAGCAAGTCCTGAATAGGGAGGATTTCACAGCCCTCGACCAGAAACCCCTGGCACCTCATTCCCCCAGGAAATGGCTGAAACACATTAATTACTGGTGAAACCAACTCACTGTGAACAGCTCCAGTAGGAACAAATCAGATGAACCTAGAAATAGATTATAACTCAGAAAATTCTTGTTTTAAAGCATTTGTTCCCATTCATTTCTGTACTGTACTCTCATTAAACTCACATATAGCCTCTGTTCTCTTGACTACACAATTAACCAAGCAGTATCTAATGGGAGAGAAATAGTTTTTCATAATTTTTTACATCAGTGGAAAAATTTTCAGCATTAAAAAACCCAGCAGTGACTGTGCATTTTATGTTTACATATTCATAGTTCTACAGTAACTGTCTTTTTCTCAACTTTTACAGTCTCTTTCCATGGTAAAATCTAGGGTCACCGAAATCAAGGACATCAAGAGTTCACCTACCACAAATACGGAAAGAATAATTCTTTCTTTCTTTCTTTCTTTCTCTCTCCTCTTACAAGCTACAGGGAAAAGCATCTGGATGCACGCACAGGACTTGATAGCTTGTGTTTTGTCTTTTTATTAGTGTCAATACACAGTAGAATGGCTCTGTGCACATGAGAAACATCTATTGAAGTACACTTATTGAATTAAAAAAAATAAATTCAGCACTTAGTTCTGAAAGTGATGGGGGAAGCAGTCATTCTTAGTTAGCATGGGACTAAGTTCTAGAAGCTAAATCCAAGCATTCATGAAAGGACTGTGCTCACAAAAAACATCTGCAGAGTGGAACACAGCTGTCAAGGATCCTCAGAATCGGTAAGCAGCACACCTAGCAAGCAGGCAGGAAACGATCTCTTGTCCTGTAAACCTTTTAGACTTCCAAAGGGCTTTTGTTCTGCAGTTTGAAGCAGATCTTCCAAAGAATTTCATGAGAAGCAACAGTGGTAGAACAGCAGCTGGATATAGATATATGTTGAATACATATCTGGATTTGGTTTTCCCAGCTTAAGATGCCTCCTGACTGCCACACTATATTACTATTCTAGGGTGAGTACTCCTATCCTCCTTCCTCTAGTTTTGACTAGAAATTTCATCCTTGAGTTTCCCCTACAATACAGAACACAGGGAATCAGAAGCTATAGAAATTTTCTTCTGCTGGTGATATGCATGTCAGACTTAGCCTAAGGGAAGGACAGTTTAGATGATTCCCCTCACTATTATATGGACAACATATTTTTACTAACATTCCACCTTTTGTATGACTTTTTTTTCCCCGTAATACAGA